ATCTTTTAAAGGCCAGCTGATCAGAGTTCAGAATCAGCATGTTCCCATAAGGATGAAAGATATTTAAGAATGGCATGATTTGGAAACCCTGGATGACAAGCGACATTGAAAGTGTTGTCAAAAAGAGAAAGGAAGCATGTGTAAGGTTTAGGAACCTGAAATCAATCCCTTTAGGAATGTAAGGAAAGCGGAAAAGAACTTAAACAAGAAATTAGGAAGGCTAAAAAGGGCCGTGAAATGTCATTGGCAAGTAGGATTAAAGAGAATCCTAAGGCATTTAATACATTCTATAGGAGTAAGAGGGTAGTTAGGGAAAGGGTAGGTCCACTCAAGGACAAAGGAAGGAATTTTGCATGAAGCCAGAGAGTAGTGATCGGAACCAGGGCCAGGTGGGCCTCATTGATTATGAGACCCTTGATTGGGGTTAACCTGGGCCAATCAGGGAGCCCTGGCTGACAGATATAAACATGAGATTCAGAAGGTCTCCTCAGTCTAGGGACTAGCTTCGAGTGGGCTGGTCAGAGCCCATGTACTGTGCACATGTAAATAAAAGGTGACTTGATGACCGGATACCAGCCTCTGTGCTTTTATTTCACAGAGGAAGTGCGTTGTGATCCTTAATGAGTACTTTGCATCGGTATTCACCAAATAGAAGAATATGGATGATGGTAAGATTAGAGACATGTTGACATTCTAGGGTATGTCAATATTAAAAAGGAGGTGGTGTTGGGTATCTTGAGAAACATTGAGGTAGGTAAGTCCCTTGGGCCTGATGGGATCTAACCCAGGATACTGAGGGAGGCAAGAGAAGAGTTTGCTGAGTCTTGACAGACATCTTTTTGTATCCTCTTTAGTCATAGGAGGGGTCCCAGAAGATTGGAGAATCGCCAATGTTGTTAACAAGGTGTAGAGCTGGATGAACACAGCAGGCCAAGCAGCATCAGAGGAGCAGGAAGGCTGACGTTTCGGGCCTAGACCCTTCCTTTGTTTAAGAAGGACAATAGGGATAATCCAGGAAATTATAAACCAGTTGGCCTTACATCAGTGGTCGGGAAATTACAGGAGTAGTTTCTTTGCCACAGACATTTATAAAAGAATGGACTTATTATGGATAGTCACAGCATGGTTTTGAGTGGAGGAGATCTTGTCTCACAAGTTTGAGTTTTTTGAGGAAGTGACAAAGATGATTGATGAGGTTAGGGCAATGTAAATTGTCTAAACGGATTTTGCTAAAGCATTTGACAAGGTCCGTCATGGTAGGCGAGTCCAGGAGATTATGTCACACGAGATTCACAGCGGGTTGGTAAGTTGGATACAAAATTGGCTTGATTGTAGAAGGTAGAGGGTAGTTGTGGAGCAGTGTTGCTGCCAAGCCCGTCATGGTGGTGGACACTTTGCACCATTGCCACCCTCAGTGCCTCCTCCAAGTGTTGTTCAACATGGAGGAATACTGATTCCTCAGCAGAGGGAGGGTGGTACATGATAACCAGCAGTCAATGTTGAGGACTGTGATGGCAACTCACTCCTGGTGTATACCACTGTGCTGCCACCTCTATTGGGACACAGCGTATCCAGGGATGGGGATGATCGTGTCTGGAACATTGTCTGTGAGGTATGATTCTGTGAGTATGTCTATGACACGCCATTGCTTGACTAGTCTGTGAGACAGCTCTCCCAATTTTGGAACTAGCCCCAGATGTTAGTCAGGAGGACTTTATGGCATTGACTGGGCTGTTTCTGCCATTGTCTTTTCAGTTGCTTAGGTCGAAGCTAGGTGGTTAGTCTGGTTTCATTTCTTTGTTGAGACTTCACTGCAATTGATATAACTGAGTGGCTTACTAGAGGCAGTTCAGAGTCAACCACATTGTCACATGTCGGCCAGACCAGGTGAGGATGGCAGATTTCCTTCTCTGAAGGACATTCACGAAGAAGATGGGATTTTCCAGTGGCGGGGTACGTGGATAGATTAATATTTTATTGGAAAGATGACATCTATAATTGTGTAGCATGCCATGATTACTTGTATCATCGATAGTGACAGGTGAGGTGCTGGAAGACTGAAGGTTGGCTAACGTGGTGCCATTATTTAAGGAAGGTGGTAAGGAAAGGCCAGGGAACTATAGACCAGTGAGGCTGACATCAGTGGTGGCCAACTTGTTGGAGGGGATTTTGAGGGACAGGATTTACATGCATTTGGAAAAGCAAGGACTGATTAAGGATAGTGAACATAGCTTGGTGAATGGGAAATCGTATCTCACTAACTTGACTGAGTTTTTTGAGGAAGCGACAAAGTGGATTGATGAAAGCAGAGCGGTGGGCTTCAGTAAGGCGTTTGACAAGGGTTGGCATGGTAGACTGGTTAACAAGGTTATTTCACATGGAATACAGGTAGAACTAGCCATTTGGATACAAAATTAGCTCACAGATTAGAGACAGAGGGTGGTAGTAGAGGACATAACAAGGTGCAGAGCTGGATGAACACAGCAGGCCAAGCAGCATCATAGGAGCAGAAAAGCTGACGTTTCGGGCCTACACCCTTCATCAGAAATTTCTGCACCTTGTTATCTCGGATTCTCCAGCATCTGCAGTTCCTACTATCTGTGGTAGTAAAGGGTTGCTTTTCAGACTGGAGGCCTTTGACCAGTTGTGTGCCAGAAGGATCGGTGCTAGGTCCACTGCTTTTCATTTATATCAATGATTTGGATGTGAATATAGGAGGTATGGTTAGTAAGTTTGCAGATGACACCAAAATTGGTGGTGCAGTGGACAGCCAAGAAGGTTATGTCAGAGTACAATGGGACCTTGATCAGATGGGCCGATTGGCCAAGGAGCGGCAGATAGATAAATGTGGGATGCTGCATTTTGGAAAGGAAAATCAGAGCAGGATGTTTACACTTAATGGTAAGATCCTAGGGAGTGTTGCCAAACAAAGAAATCTTCAAGTACAGGTTCATAGTTCCTTAGAAGTGGAGTCGCAGGTAAACAGGACAGTGAAGAAGGTGTTTGGTACACTTATCTTTATTGGTCAGTGCACTTAGTATAGAAGTTAGGAGGTTATGTTACAGCTGTACAGGACATTGGTTAGGCCACTTTTGGAATACTGCATTTGATTCTGGTCTCACAGCCATAGGAAGGATGTTGTGAAACTTGAAAGGGTTCAGAAACGATTTACAAGGATGTTGTCAGGGTTGGAGGGTTTGAGCCATAGGCTGGGACTATTTTCCCTGGAGCGTTGGAGACTGAGGGATGACCTAAAAGAAGTTTATATAATCATGAAGGGAATAGATAAAGTAAACAGCAAAGGCCTTTTCCCCCAGGGTACGGGAGTGTAAACTAGAGGGCACGGGTTTAAGCTGAGAGGGGAAAGATATAAAAAGGGCCTGAGGGGCAACTTTTTCATGCAGAGGGTAGTGTGTGTATGCAACAAACTGCCAGAGGAAGTGGTGGAGTCTGGTATGCTTCCAACATTTAAAAGGCATCTGGTTGGGTACATTAATCTGAAAGGTTTAGAGGGATATGGGCCCAATGCTAGCAAATGGGATTAGATTAATTTAGGATGTCTGGTTGGCATGGATGAGTTGGACCAAAGAGTATGTTTCCGTGCTGTACATCTCTTTGACTCTACGGCACTGTAATGTCTAACAAGATTTTGTGCTGGACGACCTTGAGTGGGCTTTGAAACTTAAGGGGACATTCTGATTTGAACGTTGTGAAGCTTAGGGTCATAGTAGGCAGCGATTTTATTTACCAAGGATTCCATGCATGAAAGATCTGTATCTTAATAATTACAGGAAGGTTGGGAAGGTGCAGGGACCAGGATAGTATTTGGGAAAATAGGAGCTTTGTCTGATATTCTGTCAAATTTAATCTTTTTTTTAAAACATTTAAATCAATTTTTCTAATTGACCTGTTCAGAGATGTAATTATGTAGCTCTGGAGCAGGTGGGAATTGAACCCAGGCTTCCTGGTCCAGGGGTAGGGACACTACTGCTGTGCCACAAGGGGGCCCTGCTGCCAAATTTAACAATAGTAAGTATGTGAGGCTTCAACATTGGTTCCTGTAGCACCTTATTGGTTAATTTACCAACAGAAAAACAATTCATTTATCCTGTGTTTTGTCAATTTGACAATTCTATCCATGCTTATACGTTATCTTGAAAAGAAGCGAGGCTCTGAAAGCTTGTGTTTTCAAGTAAACCTGTTGGACTATAACCTGGTGTCATGTGATTTCTGATATTTAAAACCATCAGTTCCTATCTAATGCAATGTTGCATCTTATTGAATGCCTTTAGGAACTGTAAATATATCAGCCACCCTGCTCATTATATCCTTAAATGACTTGAATAAATTTGCCAATCTCAATTTTGATTCAAGATCAATTCAAGGGGGTTCCCCACTTACCTTCAATTCTGTCTCATAGAAGCCCAGCAGAGGACAGAATGATAAAATAAAAAGCTGAAACAACTCCACCTGCTGCAAATCTGAAACCAAAACAGAAATTGCTAGAAAATCTTAGCAATTCTGGCAGTATCTGTGGATAGAAATCAGAACTGAAGAACTGTTATGAAGAAGGGTCACTGGACCTGAAATGTTAACTCTGATTTCTCTCCACAGATGCTGCCAGCCCTGCTAAGATTTTTCAGCCATTTCTGTATATGTTCGAGGACAGAATGAATCTGACCCAGTATCAATTTCTGGTTTTGTAACTTCTCTCACATAAAGAAATTGCAATTCCTTGGCTGGAAAGACTCCCCACCACCACTCCTCTCTCCTCCCCCACCCCTCACCGACTAAATTTCTAAAAGAATCAACAAATATTAAGAAATATTAAGAAATTTTCTGATGAAGGGTCTAGGCCTGAAACGTCAGCCTCTCTGCTCCTATGATGCTGCTTGGCCTGCTGTGTTCATCCAGCCCTGCACCTTGTTGTCTCGGATTCTCCAGCATCTGCAGTTCCTACTATCTCTGATTCAAATATTAAGAAATACAAGTTCTCTTACCTGTTACTAGTAAAACATCCCCAGGGAAGACACTGAGTGCCCAGAAAGCAGCAGCCCGCCACAGTGCAATTTTCATGATGACTCCTGATTGGTCCGTAACCAAAATAGTTGCTATGGGGACTCTGCAACCAGCGAATGTTCCTGATTTGATCTGTATTTCCTTAAGGAGACAGCGGAACAGTACAGTGACCAAAACATGGTACTTCCTAGTCCGGTCAGTGCAGTTCTTAAGCTGTTGTGTTTCAATTAATCCAATATTAGGTGTTAGCCACTGATCCCTCCATGCCTTCAAATAGTGCCCAAGGTCGGATATTTTCTCAGAATTCATTGTTTTTATTTTCTTAGATGATGGTGGATCGCTATCTAAACAAACTGGAGATCTTGGCGTTTCTGTCACCTGCTTTACCTCCTCAGGTTCCTTAGCAACCTCCACTGATCTTTTTAAAGACCACTCAGCATTGTCTGAAACCTGAGAGTACAGGACCCCACCATTATATGGTTCAATATTAATCTCAACATCATCATTTGACCATTTAGTGGAGGGACTGAAAGATTGTTCTGAAGTCCTTCCATTTATAGCCTCATCAGTGGACAGTTGTTGGTCACTGAATAAGCTGTAAAGTTCTGGGGTATTTTCAGAACTGTTATCTTGCCTATACATTGTCTCACTGGCACTTTGTCCAAAATGTCTAATAAAATTATGAGTAGATGTAAGCGATTGATGGGACTGTTCATTGACATCCACGTTTTTTTTCAGTTTAACTTTTACATTTTCATTCAAATCCTGTGTGTTAAACTGATTCTCTGGACGCCCCCATGAAAAAAGAGCAGCTTGACTGGCAGTTAACACACTGAGGAACTCGGCATCAGATGATAAATCTTCTTTTACTGATGTGCATCTGAAGCAAGACTCCTGCTCTTCAGCTGGAAAGATATTCTGAAAGTATTCCATCAAAGAGTGACAGAGAAACTCTGGACAATCTTCTTTCAAAGGTGCATTCTGCTCTGTTATTCTGCAATGAAAGTCCTGACTCTCAAGCCCATTTTTCTCACTTTGTCTGCTCTCATTGTCAGATTTCAAAGATGTCTTGACGTTTTCTCCTGAGCAATTAGGACTGACGAAAGCACAATCACGTTCTTCAGTTATTTTCAGACCCTCTCCTGAATTCAACAATTTTTTATTGCTCAATTTTTCCCTGTGCCGTTTCCCTACTTTTCTGACATTGAGGTCTTTATAACATGGAATATCATGTTTGCTGGTTTCCACTATAATTCCTTCTTCACTTTTTGAAGTAGAAGTCTGTCCATATTGATTTTCCAGCTGTAATGTTGCTATTTGCCAATCAAAATGTTTCTGAGACTCCTTGCTGCTGCACTTTCTAGGAATAGCATTGAGAGATTTGTTATCATACAAGAACTGGCACTGAAGCCACTTCTTGGAGCTGCCATCAGCTACTGCTTCTTTTGCTGATGTTCTCCGCTGTGTCAAATTGGCTGGTGCTCCAAGGAAAATGTGAACTTTCTTTTCATTGTTCATGTTAGAATAATAGGTGGTGTCTTCACATGCTGAATTTCATTGCTTTAACCGGTTTAGCCTAACATGGAAACAACAAGTCATTGAAAGGACAGTCACAAAGCTAAAAATTATACATGTTTAAGCACCTTGGCTTGATGCTTCCAACTGGGTCCAGAAGGAAGCTATTTCAGGTTGGCTATTTGGACAGGCTTAGTGACACAGTGTTTAGTTTCAGACGGTCATTATCTATCTCACAGGGAGGTGGGGAGGAGTGAACATTAGTACTCCTAAGCATATAGATGAGCAAAGAGACTGGTAACTCATAGCTCTCCTTAAATATCACACAGATCATACAGATCAAAGTCTTTGAACAGGTTCACTATTTACTTTTTCCTGGCTGAAATAATCTATTTTAGCATGTTTTGGACAGTGAAGCTGCTCTATGCAACTGAGTATCAGAATAAATGCATAATGACACTAAAACATCAGGCAAGCACAATGTAGATATGCAAATATAGGTTACCAGCCCAGCAAACCAACACATTTATATTCAAGTTTAATAGGTTCTGAAACAAGAAGGAAATAGGGCTAAATGGATGGCATCTTCAGAAAACTAGTGTATGTGCATTGAGTGAATGTGTTATAAAATTATAGAATGATGACTGTGCAGGAGACCATTCAGTCCATCATGATGGCACTGGCTCTCTGAATGAACAGTTTACTTAGCACCATTCTCCCACCTTCTCATCAAAGCCTTGCACATTCTTCCTTTTCAGAAGGCAATAAATGCTTTGATTGAACTTGCCTCCACCATACTCCCAGTCAGTGCATACCAGACCCCAAACAACTGTTCTACAGACTTCTCTTATGCTTCTCTTACTTGTGTCCCCTCATTTGCAATGTTCTCACAATTGGGGTAATTTCTTCCTATTCACTCCATCCAGAAACTTTACAATTTCAAAGACCTTCATCAAGTTTCATCTCAATTTCCTTTCCTACAAGAAAAACAGTCCTAGGCCCCCAATTATCTCTGTACCCTCTCCAATTCTCCCACGTTCCTTCCATCCACTAGTGAAAAATCCTAAGATGGAATACTGAATCAATATCAACAGACTGCTACAAAAACAGAAGTTGCCGGAAAAGCAGAGTTAATGTTTCGGATCACTGGACCCTAAATGTTAACTCTGATTTTTTTCTTCACAGATGCTGCCAGATCTGCCGAACTTTTCTAGCAACTTCTGTTTTTGTTCCTGATTTACAGCTTCTGCAGTTCTTTCGATTTCAACAGACTGCTATTCCACCAGAGGGCACCAAGTTCCTATGCAGCACACAGAAAAACAGTTCACAACAAACCTTTCATAAATGCTCTTGTTTATGATAACGCTGTTTACATCAGTATACAGAAAACCTCCTGTATCGTTTACCTTGTAATTCCCAAGATAAGATTCCAGGTTTACCTACGTGCTGTAGAATAACCTTATTTAGGAACTGTGGAGGTAACACTGATAGTGCTTTTATATCTATGAGGTTTTCAGACAAGAGGCATCAAACTGATACGTCCAGTTCTCCTGCCTTTAAATTATCGTGCTGGTCTGTCCTCCTGTATACCTATTGCCAGTTTTTTTTTAAAAAACTAAGAATGGAAGAAAGCTAGTCTTCAGCTCAATCCGCCTTCCCCAACATGCCTACATCAACTCAAGAATAATCAAATAATTTGATTCATTTACATTAATGAAAATAAGAAGCTTTTCATGGAACAGGCTAGTGTATTGTGCTTACGGGGTAAGGCACATTGCATTGCCCATTTTATTGGCTGTAGGGTGATGCAACAATTGCAGCAGCATATTGAGACACAGTAGTTGATGAACAAAGGTGACTAACTATACTTGGGCTGCTAACCTTGCAAACTCCTTCAGGAATCAATTTCATTGCAGTAAGTTAAAGATGACTTCAGTTGTCATTTACTGACACTAGGAATGGCTTCCTGCATCCTTTATTTAAACTAAAACCATTACAGGCAAGAGGGGCTGGCATGCATCAGATTAGAGGATCTTTGTGCTGTCCAGTTATGAACCTTTGTCACTCATGAATTAAATAATATTTTTACAAAGCAAATAATTATTCAGCCAAAACATGAGAATAATTAAATCGTTTTAAGGATTATTCTTAGAAGTTAAATTGATAAGTAATTGTTAAAGCCAGCCTATGACTAAAAGGACTGTCTATTTTGTGTTAATGATTCCCTTTGTTCTTACACTTAATTAATTTTCTTTGCAATTCTCTTTCCTATATTTCCAGGTGTGTAAATTCTTGTTGTAGCATAGTCCCTTTGGCTATTTGATGCCTTAGGAGGGAGCAAGAATTAAGTTCATCCAACATTCCAACTGCACCAGCTCCAGCAGGGATTACTGAATTACGATCAGAAATGGGAACTCTGGCACAGAGTGTTGAGTATGACTGTAGTCCATGAGTGATTATACAAAGTGCACACAAGAAATTGGTTACTTCAGTACTGAGAAAGAACTGCACTTGAGACTTCCCCAAAAATATGAACTTGCTTTGAATCTATAGCAGAATTCATGGGAAAGATTTCGTTTAAGTAGATATCTATCATTAGCTCCTCACAGACAAAGTAAGGCTGTCCAATGAGTAGTTATGTCCAGGGTCTGCGGAAATGTTTGTGTTTGTGGACATGATGTGAGAATAATACTATGATAATCCCTGGTAGAACAGCCACATGAATAGTAGCTGCTTGGCTATATAGTGAAGGCCAACTGCCATCTATGGATCCCAAGTGAGAAGTCAATGTCTTTACCATGGCATGGGAAGAAGAAAAAAATTGGCAAGGGAAAATGATAAGTAGTTTCAAAACATGACAATTATTAAGAATACATGGTATCAAAAGTATATTCAATGTAAAATGAAACAAACTCAAGACTATAACTGGTTCCGTGATCTAGAGAACAGGAGCAGACCTTAACCATTAAGGCCCAAGTGTTGTTGCTGTATTGGCAGCTCCTTCCTTGTCTATTGTACTGATACAATGCAGCGTGGCTATTCCCAGAGACTAGCTCAGTTTTCATCAATTCACTTTAATTTTCCTTTCTGTTGATTCATGGCTGTTGAAACTCTGCAGCATATGATCAGCGCCTAATGCTTGTGATTGAATGCAATTACTCCTGCCTAAAGGAATGGATTTGATTTTATTGGTTGAAAATATAGGCACAAAGTAAGGAATAAACACATTCAATTGCAGTGGCTTTTGTGATGAGATGTTTGCAGGAGCACAGATACCAAAAATATTCAAACTAGGAACAGGAGGAAGTCATGTGGTTCTTCCAGCTTTTTTGCCATTCAATTCAATGTATTCAGCTCTATTTACCTGCCTTTCCTCCATTTCCCTTGATAGCACTTACTGTGTAATAAAAATCTGTCAATTTTATTCTTGAAAATTCTAACTACACGCTGATCCACAGTCTTTTTGTGAAGTTAGTTCCATTCCACTATCCTTTCTGTGAACAAATGATTCCTGATTTCACTCCCGAACAACCTATCTGTTTAACTGAAATGCAATCATATACAAATTTCTGTTCAAGTCTAGGAAGAAATATTTGGAAAAATTAACATAGAGAGAGAAGGTGCTAGCAGGTATAGCAGTCTTAAAAGTGGATAAATCCACAAGCCCACATGAAATGCATCTCAAGCAGTTAAGAGAGGCAAGGTATCTCCTGTTAATGGAGGGGACATCAGGTCCCTAGCAGTGATGTTCAAATCCTTTCTTGCCACGAGTGACATTCCAGAGGACTGTTAATGTTGTCCCATTATTGAAATAAAAGGGAGGAAGGGATAGGCCAGGAAATGTAAGGCTAGTCAGCTTAACCCCAGCTGTGGGGGAGTTAAGAGAAAGAACCTGTGGGTCAGAATGTATCTGTACTTAGAGAAGATTATAGAGTTATACGGCATGGAAACAGACCCTTCAGTCCAACTTGTCGAGACATGGATTAATCAGGGATAGTCAACATGGATTTGTGAGAGAAGGTCATATTTGACAAATTTGATTGTTTTTTGAGGAGGTAACCAGGAATATTGATACCTACGAGTTAGCAAAGGTGTAACAGGTCCGTACTGCATTGGTATAAATTTACCTACAGCTAAACTTCTGGAGCCTAACCATGGCTGAAGGTGGCAACAACCTTTCACTGGACATCTAGATCATTTCCAGATCATTATCAGAGGTGACCTCACTCACATCAGTCCTTCTGGTATGCGTAGATGTATAAAGCAAGTGATTCACGAATCACTTCCTTGTAAAATCTCCACCCCATGGACCACTGGCAGCATCTTGAGAAGGATGTGCCATTTCATCAATTAATAATTACCCGAAAGTCTAGGCAATTATATCTCGCACCCTTCAACTTTTCTCTGTTCATTGCACAACCGACTACTTAATCAGGCTGAAAAGGTTTCGATTTTATGGCCATTCAATGTATTAGCAATATTGAGCCTGAATGGTACAAGTGAATGATTCGTTCCCAGATGTGGACCATGTTTGATCTTCATGACTACATAATCAATTTTTATCTCTTTTCTGCCTTGTGGCTATCTGAAGGACGTTGGGTGCGTTGAAGAGGGTAATTTTGGTCTCCTAGAAACAATAATTCAAACAATCCTACATTAAAGTTAACACATGATGATTAGTGCTTGCAAATTTGGCATTCAACAACAATTTATACAGCATACTTAATGTAGTAAGATGTCCTAAATACTTTACAGGAGCATTACCAAACAAAATTTGACACTGGGCCAAACAAAAGATATTTGGTAAGGGATTGAAAGCTTGGTCTAAAAGGTTGATTTTAAGTACCATCTTAAGTAGGCACAGAAAGTCATAGAGGCATGATCTTGTTTTAATGGAATGTAATTTCTTGTTATTGTCAGACATTTGCTACATATCAGCCATAAAATGTAGGAGCAGAAATAGGTTATTCAGCCCATCATGTCTGCACCGCCATTCAATGAGATCATGGCTGATCTAATAATCCTCAACTCTACTGCCTTTTCCATATAGCCCTTGATTAA